TGGCTGGTGGGAGAGAAACATCCAGTGACATCCCTGTCCTGTGAGACACTTACAGTAGAGCTTGAGGAAGAGGATTTAAAGGTGCATCCCTGGGTGAGACAAGAACACAAGCTTTGGAAGCAAACAAGATTGTAGTTCTCCACGCTACCCCTAATAAGTTCACTGGTCTTGGGCAACTTGTTCAATGTTAAATTTATATTTGTTTCCTCACCAATAAAAATGGGAATAAGAAATTTTGGTTATACAGACTCAAAATGACATTAATAGCCAAACTAAATCTGTGACCCAGATGATGGTAAGCATACAAAAATTTTTAACCTATTATTATCACAGATACCCAGAGGAAAGGGAACTCTAGGGGCTTCTCAATCCTACTGGACTCAAGCTGGGGAGCTACATCTTAAGAGACACCACGGCAAAGGGGTGATGGTGTGTGCTCAGAGAAAATAACTAAGATGATTGGGAAACCTGGAATTGTCCTAAAGACAGTGAGCTGAAGGGTGCTAAGCTACTAGTCAAAAAGGGATCAATGATCACAGTTCAAGGAAACAAATTTTATCCACTCAATATGATCAAGACGGCTATAATAAAGGGGCGAAGTAGGACTCCTCATTGTGCCGGCTGTCAAACAAAAGGTGTTGACAATGTGCTAGACTCAGGACCAGCAGATAGCTCAGCGGGGAAAGGTACTTACTGCTCCACGCTGGTAAAGACAGGAAGCAGAGCTGTCCTCTGACCTCCACATTCACATACACAATAATTAACAAAACTTACTTTCTGTTAGCACTAGAGAGACAACTCAGCAATGAAAAGCACTTGCTGCTCTTCCAGAGGACCAGAGTTCAGTTCCCAGGACCCACACAAAGCGACTCACAACCTTCTGGAACTCTAGCTCCAGGCCTCCAGCACCTACAGTCGCACGCATGTGTGTGCATGCAGACACACACCGACACACAATTAAAAATAAACTTTAAAAAAGCGTGCTAGAATCTCCCTTGTGGTAAATGACAGATGTCCTCTACAGCCCCGGAGGGATGGAAAGTGCCAAGACTTTATAGCTCAGCTTTTCCGTCTTCTGTCGGCTCTCCTGACATCCACTCTGTTCTCCACCAATACATTCTGCAACTTGTGCCCCAGGAAGGAGAAAGATTCTTTTCCCTAAAATACAACTGCTATGGCTTCTTTAGTTTTTACATTTGTATTACATTTATTTATTTATTCTGCGTGTGTGCACATGAGCACAATTTCTTCCCTTCCACCATGTGGGTCCAGGCTTAAGAGCAAACACCTTTACCCACTGATCCACCCGCGCAGCCTGTCTTCTGTGTTGTACCCAGATGAGATGCTCACTCTGGGGAGGGCACTACTGTGCAGAGATGGGCTGAGGTCCAGTTACTGCCTGATTTGAACCAATTCCTCAGGTAGAGGGGAAGGATTGGGTTCTTTGCTTTTGTCACTTCCGTAAGGTCAACACAAAGGAAGCTCATCCACACTACAGTGAGGGAGGGCTGGGTCTTCAGAGGGAAAGCTGGTGCTGCTTAGACCAGCAAGAGGGAGTCTGCTTAGGCCACAGCATCCTGATCTCAGCAAGAAACAGTACATTTAAAAGCTAGGGACTGTACAAGGCCTGGAAGAAGGGGTCTATTGGGAAGAGGAAGGGGCCAGTGGAAGGGCCAAGCAGGGAAGGATGGTGGGCATTTGGTTCAATGACTACATACTAATAAAAATGAAAAGTAAAGAAATGGAGATTTTTTTATTTTAAGAGACAACCTCCAAAGGATTACAGAAATCCTGTGGCTTGCCACCACGGGAGATGCCACTCCTGGTTAGGTGGTCCTGAGATGTGTAAGACAGCAGACTGAGCACACCACAAAAAACAAGAAGCAGCATTCCCAAGGCGTCGGGTTCAGCTCCTGCCTCCAGATCCCGCCTTGAGTTCCTGCCCTGGCTTCCCTTGATGATGAGTAATAAACTAGAAACTGAAATAACCCTTTTGGTCATGGTTTTCAATCACAGTACTAGGAAGTCAACTGAGTCAGCCCTTAATGTGATATTTTAAAATAAAGAAATGGATACCCAAACTCATCCATAAGTAGAGAATTTCAAACACATGGTTAATAATTAAACACGATCGTGTATAACAGTTAAGTACGCAGTTCCAGTTCAGGTTATATAATATAGTCTTTCCTGATGAAAAACATATAAAAACTTTGATCAGTAAATTGAAAACAAAATATAGCCAGGCAGTGGTGGCACATGCCTCTAATCCCAGCACTGGAAAGGCAGAGGCAGATGGATTTTTTTTTTTTTTTTTGGACAGAGAAACCCTGTCCAAAAAAAAAAAAAAAAAGAAAGAAAGAAAGAAAGAAAAGAAGAATGAGGAGGAGGAAGAAGAGGAGAAAGAAAAGAAAAAATATAGTCACTAGGAAAGAAAACAAAATTGTTAAAAAAAATCATACTGAACATATTCATAAAAATACAAAAATTATCTATTGGACTTTCTTTTCAATTATTTTTTTTTTGAAGTTAACACTTAAGCCTATTTTACTTCCTTATGTAACACTGGCCAGTGTTAGCTATGAACATGAACAGAATATGGACAAAGCTAATACAGTACTGAGGATGAGGGGACTCACGGTGAGCATGGGGGTAGGACAAAGAACATGCTCCAACATACAGGATGAGGGGGCTCGCAGTGAACATGGAGGCGGGTCAAAGAACATGCTCCAACATACAGGATGAGGGGGCTCGCGGTGAACATGGAGGCGGGTCAAAGAACATGTTCCAACATACTTTACACGTAATCTAACACTGATCTGTTTAGATTTCAAACCTGTGTATCAGAGCTATTTAAACATTTTATGATACACAGTACTAGAGAAAAGATTGATGCCAGGACAAGTCAGGAAACCTTTGCTTAACCACTGACCGGCGGCAGCTCTGTTTTGACTCTTAGGTGAATCTCCAGTTCAGGGAGGAAAAAAAAAGTGGCATATGAATTGAGCTTGGTGTAAGAATTTAAATTTTACTTCACTGAGACATCTTAGCTTACACCATTTTTTTTTTTTTGCTAGTTTATGCTTGCTAGTTTTACAGAAATCCTGAGACTAGGAGTAGTCATAAGTTTATAACAGAGAAAGAAATATGCCCCCCATCCCCAAACAATCACAGATGTAAGCCTCCAAAAGCCTTCTGTCATCGTAGATCCGAGGTAGGACTAAAATAGTTCCTAAGACCCTCGGGTTTATTTTCCACCTCTTTTGGGAACACAAATGCAAAAGATAACAACGAAGCAGGAACAGGCAGAACTGACTTGAATTTGCATTAAGTATTTTTAGACTTCATGCAGGGAAATGTTAGAACAGAAATAGTTGCCATTCTACAGAGGAAATCCAGACACTTCTCCATCTTCTGCTAGGTTGTCATCAGAGTCTATACTCATCTAATTTGTTTTGTAGAAATGCCATCTGCCTCTCCCAAGCCCCCTCTCACTGAGCTCCATGGAGACCTTTGCTACTCATGAGCAGAAAGCCTGCCTCCCCATCGTAGAGGTCCTTCAGGTAGCGACACAAAACACCACCTGCCAGGAGAGCAGGCACTGTGTTCCCACCTATGTTATGAAGTTGTGGGCTCGTGTTTATTGTTTCTACATAAAGTCTACCAACGGTAATGAGGTAAGCTTTTGTCATAATCTATGACTCACAGAGAACATGTACTGTCACTAGCCAGTCCTCTTACAACTCTGCGTATTGATCACAAAAGGAATTTCGTAAATCAGCCCTATTGGGATTTATGGAATTCCTTCTGTGGTCCTATCTACCAGGGCAGCTCACCACATTTAGTGTTCATAGTCAAATACCTATAGATGGAATGTGCAAGCATCTGTACAAGTAAGAAACCTAAAGAATAGTAAATTGTTATGTGTTTTTGATAGAAAAAACAAATGCATGTGCATACATGTGCACAAGAAAGGAGAGAAAGATAACGTCCTGGGGGACATAGCTCAGTTGGCAGAGTGCTCTTTGCATTCATGAAGCCTTGGGAGACGGGGACACATGCACACGCACACACACGCACGCGCACACACACTATTTTGCTGAGTGTGTGATGCACACCTGAAATCTCAGCACGTGGTAGGTAGAGGAAAGAGGATCAGGAATTCAAGGCCTGCCTGGGATACGTGAGATGCTGTCTCAAAAAAAGAAAGGAGAGAAACTGAGGGAAAAACAGAGAGGAAATGGAGTGTGGGGGTGAAACATGAATGAAAATGAATGAGTATGAACCCCAGGTAAATCCTCCAAATTCTCCCGCTCTCCTACAATAAGCCTTTAACGTTCACAGTGAGAAAATAAAAGTTAAAACGGTCCAGTCTTTCTAATCAAGAAGCAACAGTTAATCTGGATTAAAGACACCAAGCAGCTTAACTTTAAACTCCGCACAAGCCATTGAGGAACAAATCCTGCCATACTTGGTTTGGCAGAAGGCTGCAAGACTCTCCCGGCGCTGTATCAACCTCCGTTTCTCTGCGGCCTTAGCAAGCGGAGCAAAGTTGTTTCATACAAACTTGGTCAAGTGCTCCTGCAGCAGAACTCTCCCAGCTTTCCCTTGACCCCGCCCCCGTGGCAATTCAAGTTCCCAACACCCTACGAGGGACCCCTTCCTTCTCGAGAGAGCCTCCGGAAGCCAGACCCCTAAATCTGAGCTCCCCCAGCTCTCCTCCACGCGCCTTCACCTACAACAGCCGCGGTGGGCTGGAGGGAATACAAAGTCCCGGCCAGACGTGGCGGCACCCGCCCCGGATTCCCCTGTCCTTGCACGAGTGGCTCCGCCTTTCCCAGCCTCAGTTTCCCTCACTGGCTGCAGAAGGGTTTTGTCGAGGCAAAGGGTCCTGGGCTGGGTGCGCATACCTTCCTCCTCTCCTGCTTCTCTCCGGCACCGGGACCAGCGTGGACTCCTCTGGGTTGCAGTGACCCAACCCCGGCCCCAGCCCGTACCCCTACCTGGGAGCTGCTGTCCTGGGGCAGGTTTTTCACCAGGATTTTCCGCCGGTTGCTCAGCTCCCTCCGCATCCGCTGCAGCCGCGCGGCTACCTCCTGGGGGTGCAGCGCGGCCACCTCTCCCGGGCGCAGCGCGGGCTCCGCGGCCTCCCCCGCCGTCCCAGCAGAGGGTCCGGATCCCAGGCCCGCGCCCCCCGCGCTGCCTCCCCTCGCCGCCATCTTCCCGGCGCCCCGCTGCAGACTCGGCGAGGCCGGAGCGAAGCGGGAGAGAAAGCGGAGAGGCCGCGCGGGGGCGAGGCGGGCCGGACGCGGAGCAAGGGCGCGCGGGCGGGGGAGGCGCCGCAGCCGCCGACGCGGGGAGGGGGGGGCGGAGCCCGGAGACACGCCCATCCCAGACACGCCCCCGATGCTCCGCCCCTACCCCATGCCACCTGCTTGAGCTAGAATGTGGTGGCGGGACTCGAACCCCTAACGAACTCTGCCCTGGCTCCCCGTGTTTGGTCTCGCGCTCCAAATTCGGGGGCCCCTAGGCACCACTATGCAACCTGGAGAACTCCCGGCCTCAATTCTAATATATCAAGATGTGTGTTATTTGGCAAAGTTTAAGTCATCAACGAACAAAAAAGCAAAAAAAGAGGTTTATCTAAGAAGAAAAGATTCTGGGGAAAGATGTAGTATATTTGGTAAGATCTGAGCATAAATTTCCTAATTGTGTGTAAGAAATCATTGTCTTTCATTGGTCCCTATGCCCCCTACGATGGACAACCTGGCAGGTTGTGTTTGTAACACATATTGAAGCAGAAGCAAAGACTGGGAGAGTTATGGCAGAGAGCAGGAGAGCAAGCTCCTTGGTTATATGAAACTTGGAAGGAGGAGTGTAGAGATATACCTAGTCAGGGAGATCTACCAATCCAATAGCCTTCGACTGGCTCCAGCCGGAATGACCATTAGTAAACGGGAGCATGGACCTGAAGGGTGCCCCATGAAAACGCACTCAAAAATAGCCTGCATACCACCAGCCTGCAATGCATTAAAGAGAAATGCTTTCAACATAACCAACGTATATGAATAAGGGGTTTTAACTCTCATTAAGGGCCTGGAGAGATGATTCAGGCCTTATAGGAACTTATAGCTCTTGCAGAGGCCTACAGTACCTCTCCCAGTACTCAAGTCAGGTGACTCACAACCACCTGTCACTCCAGCTCCTGGATCTGATGCGCTTTTCTGGCTTATACACATGCGCGCACACACACACACACACAGGATCATGAATTCAGTACTTACCATGGGCCACCCACATATGTCTAAGTATGTTACAGTATTTCACTTAAAAATACAAATAGGCGGCCGGGCGGTGGTGGTGCACACCTTTAATCCCAGCACTCAGGAGGCAGAGGCAGGTGGATCTCTGTGAGATCGAGGCCAGCCTGGTCTACAAGAGCTAGTTCCAGGACAGCTAAGACTGTTACACAGAGAAACTCTGTCTCAAAAGGCAAACAAACAGTTCCAATTAGGCAAGGTTTACTTTTTTTCACATAACACATGAAGAAATGGAATCTAGTCTGATTAGGCTCAATGTTCTATTTTTTTTCTTTTTTCTTTTTTTTGGTTTTTCGAGACAGGGTTTCTCTGTGGCTTTGGAGCCTGTCCTGGAACTAGCTCTGTAGACCAGGCTGGTCTCGAACTCACAGAGATCCGCCTGCCTCTGCCTCCCGAGTGCTGGGATTAAAGACGTGCGCCACCACCGCCCGGCTCCTCAATGTTCTAAATAATAAAAGTCATCTGTAATCACTCTACTCCCAGATTATGGTTTCTAGTCCTCAAACTGTTCTCAAATACTTATTATCATTAAAATTATTCAGGGCAGTACCCCAGTATTTACGCAGCCCTATTCCCATAGACAAACCCAGGGTGAAGAACCGATAGCCTATTGCAGTCTGCACGTACAGAGGAATATTTTCCCGCCATCAAAGGAAGGCAACTACTGCCAAAAGGTAGGTGAACCTCCAAGTCACTAAGTAAGGAAAACTAAAGACAATGGCTACATACTGCATGATTCCATTCATAGAAGCAACGGGGAAATCCAGAGCAAAACCCAGAGTTGGGTAGACAGGAGCTGAGAAGAGTACTGGACAGTACTGCCCCACAGTAATGCGAGAATTCTCAAATGTCTTTAGTATGGGGATTCAACGGGAAATACACGAATACAAGACAAGGTGGAAACGACCGTGGGTCCAGCTGCCAGGTTCCGCCGTTCTGCTCAGGGGAGATGTGAACAACCACAAGGCTTGCTTCTGCTCCGACATGCCAAATAGGGGTGAGAGAGACCCTTCCTCTTCCTCAGGAGAGATCACATCTGCACATAGAAGTCACACCCTAAGACCGGTACCCCGGAACTATCCGCAGAATGAATTCCCACAACACCACAGGCTCACACATCCCTTTGAAGCAATGTTTTGGGGCTAGAGAGAGGAGGCCAGTTCTGTGAATGTACTCAGTATTGCCTCAGTTCGCTTTTAACTGGTTAATAATGTGAAGCTCACCTTATAAACACTTTGCTTCTTTTCCTGTTGCTGTGACTATAAAATACTCTGACAAAAGCAATTTAAGGGAGAAGAGGTTTGTTTCAGTCCACGGTTCAAGGACAGGATCCACCCTAGCAGAGCAGTCAGTGTGGTAGAAGCTTGAAGCAGCCAATGACACTGCATCCACAATCAGGAGCAGAAAGCAGTGATTGCATGCTGCTTAGCTCTTTCTCACTTACACACTCCAGGATCCCAGTCAGGGAGTAGCTATGCCCACTGGAGAAGGGTGTAGACAGAAGTTTCTGTTCTGCCTCATCCCGCAGCTGTTCAGTCCCAAAGTAACACACAGAGATTTATAAATTATAAACTGTTTGGCCTACTAGCTCAGGCTTATTACTAACTACTCTTACAACTTAAATCAACCCATAATTCTTGTCTTTGATTAACCACATGGCTTGGTACTTTTTCTCAGTAAGGTATTCTCATCTTGCTTCTTCTGCATCTGGCTGGTGACTGCATCTCTGTCTTTCCTCTTCCCAGAATTCTCTTAGTCTGGTTGCCAGGCCTATACTTCCTGCCTGGCTACTGGCCGATCAGTGTTTTGTTAAACCAATATGAGTGACAAATCTTTACAGTGGACAAGAACATGATCCCACAGCATTTCCCCTTTTTTCTTTCCAAAACAAAAACCCTGAATCTAATCTCCTTTGTTTAGCTTTTTTTTTTCTGACTATTAGCCATAACAACTTGCCACCAACATGCTAAACAAAGACAAACATCCATAATCCATCTTTGGGAATGTGGGCATAGTTTTCTAGGCTACTTCCTGCTGACTGGGGGCACTGATAATCTTATGGGGACCCAACGAAAATTTATGATTATGGTCAAGTCCTCACTGGAGTATTCTGTGAGACTGGATCATCTCAGGCAGCAGTCTTGAGGCTGTTCTGGATGTAGAACTCAGAGGACACTGCAACAGATCTGGACCATCCACTCCTATCAAAGATTTTTCATGGGGGTCTTCTTTGATCAAACCTTATTTTCTTAACCCAGAATGAATCCACAGCATCTCATTTCCTATTGAAACAAAAGAAGAACATACTTTTTGACTTATATTTTGAAGTCAAGATATTTTTAAAATATATAGGTTGGTTTAATCGAGCAGCATTTATAATCAAATGTCTTTTAGCAGCTGTTGCTCCTTCCTCAAAATTCAAACAAGTCAAAGACAATACAATAACATACTATATCCAGATTGTCTGTTATTTTCCATCTTTATGTGGATATATTTTTACTCTATTTCTTTTTTTAATCTTTGATTTTTTTTAGACAGGGTTTCTCTGTGTATCTTTTTGACTTTCCTTGAACTTACTCTGTAGACCAGGTTGGCCTTGAACTCATAGAGATTCAGCTGCCTCCCTATCAAGTATTGAGATTGAAGGTGTGTGCCACCACACTTGACTACTCTATTTCTTTTTCTTAAGGACTTTCTCTATCCTTTTTCTTTTCTCTCCCAAGCCTATGTATATATTTAAACATACTGTAAACTGTTTGGAATTTTTCTTTTAATTTGAATCTGTCTTTACTGTATATCTCTATCTTTCTCTGATCATATGCATCTTTAATCTGCTAAGTGATATGGCTAGGATTAAAGCTGCAGCTTTGGCAGATAGTTCCTCCCCACTCCTTGGCTTCCTGAGAGCCTAGCTTCATGGCAGAGGTACTGACTGAGTCGCGTTTTATTGTCACAACTCTGTGGCGTTTCTAGGTCCATGTCACCACCAAGAAGCATGCCACTAACTGCTCCTAAATGCCATTTAAGTGTTTGGTGGCAGAGCCCCTTTAAAGAGTTGCAAGGTTTTTGCTGTTAACTTTGAGTCAGGAAGCCTCTCTTAAAGGAGCTGAGCCTCTGCTTGCCGCCAGCACACAGAGCCTACCAGAGTAAAGATGGTCACCAAGAAGCTACGCTTGACTCTGTTCTTGTTTGTCTAGAATCCTTTTAAAAAAAAAAATGCATGCTTTATGTGGAAATTCTTGCCAAACGTTTGGGCGCCATTATGTAAACGGAGACAAAGTTTTCATTTCCTGGCTGCCCAGACCCAAATAATCATGCAGAAACTATATTAATTACAACACTGTTTAGTCAATGGTTTAGATGACTCCTAGCTAACTCTTACATCTTAAACTAATCCATTTCGATTCATCTATGTGTCGCCATGAGGCTGCAGCTTACTGGTTATGTTCTGGCATCTTTCTCCTTCAACAGCTACATGGCATCTCCCCGACATCACCCATTCTCTCTTTCTATTTCTATTCAGATTTCCTGCCTGGCTTTACTCTTCTAAGCCATCGGCCAAAATAGCTCTATTCATTAACCAATAAAAGCAACACATATATAGAAAGACACCCCATGTCAGAAGGGTGGGCTGGTTACTAATTTTTAGTAATTTTGTCAACTTGACACAAACTAGAGTCATCTGGAAAGAGGGAACCTCAACTGAGGAATTGCCTCCATCAGACTGGCCTGTAGGCAATTCAGTGAGAACTCTTCTTGATGAATGACTGACGTGGGAAGGCACAACACACTGTTGGTAGTACCAGCCTTGGGCAGGTGAGCTGAGCAAGTCATGGAGTGCAAGTCAGTAAGTAGTGTTCCTCTGTGGTTCTGCTTAGTTCCTGCCTCCAGGCTCCTGCCCTGACTTCCTGTCAGGATAGACTGTAAGCTACAAGATGAAATAAGCCCTTTTTTTTCCTCCAAAGACTCTTTGGTCAAGATGTTCATCACAACAACAGAAAGCAAATTAAGACATAGTTTTCCCACCTTC